GGAAATTAACTGCTTTCCTCAGGGAGCACTGACAGTGGATGGCCACCAGCTGCCCGAGTCATATTAAATTGGAAAGTAGCACCCTATTATCTCACAGATCATTTCTCCCTCAAACTAGCCACTGTCCTCCAGCTAACCTAGGAGTAATGAAAAACCAGGAAAGCAAGGCTTATTGAAGCCTAACGAACGTTGCTTCTTACATCACCTAGTATCAGACCTTGGTCAATAAAAGTTACCCCCCAGGGACTTAACCACTGCTAATACACACACACACTAGGTGATCCCACCCCGCTCCTGTTGGTCACTGTCCTAGTCCCAGGAAAGGGGAAATACCGTTAGCATCTCTTTCTGGTGTCTGAAACAAGCAATCGTTTTTAATATAAACTAAGAGCTAACGTGCTATTTTCTGGAGAGGTTACAGGATGGGCACACTATTTTATTTGCAGGTATGAAGAGATCTCTCAGTTCCGAGAGGACTTCTTACAGGTGCGTGGACAATGAGAAACTCAGGGACTTGATCAGCAATCACTTTGTAAGTCGCCAACTCCGGAGTCCCCATGGTGCTTCCTCATAGAGGAAGGGTCCTGGCCACTTGTTCTGTTCAATCATTTGGGCCATCAAGGTGATAAGAGAATGCTGTTCCAAAAGTTCTATAGTTGTAATAGCGCTCGGGAAATACTCAAAGTGTCAGCATCTACCAGGAGTCTGCCAGGACTGTTTTGAAACCAGAGAACAGCTAATTTCCTCGGAAGGGCTTAGCTCCTTTAAAATGTGACCGCCGCTCTTTCGTATCCAACAAGCTCTTTGTTAGCTGGGCTATTTTCAACAGTCTCTCCATGAAGCATCTGGAAATATCAAAAAACTGGAAACTGAAAGCGTAAACATTCCCAACTGCTCTTCCCCTATTTTACAATGGTTCTAGACATTTTCAAAGGACTGAACAGCATGCAAGAAATAAAAAGGGGAAGGCAAACAAGGGGCCTGGATAAGCCATAAATTGGAAAATCAAACTAAGCAATTTAGCATAATTGTGGGTTCTGTTAGATTTGGGCTAAAAATAAAGTCATAGCAAAGATAGCTAACATATGTATAGCGCTCTATAGTTTGCAAATATAGCTTGAAGGTCATATATCTCATTTGACCTTCATGGCAACTTTCATGCTGGTTTGACAATAAACTGATGCTCAATAAGACTAACTAAAGTGCCCAAGACACTAGGGTAGTAAGTGGTTCACCAGAATTAGAACCCTAGCATTCCGCTAGCATGTCATGCATATGCACTATGTTACTAGGAAACGTGCCATTTTTCATTTCTTGATAAAGAGCGTGTATTTTTATTTTTTAAAATGTTTTCTTTTTCATTGTTGTTCTTTTTTAAATTGAATTTATTGGGGTGACGTTGGTTAATAAAACCATACAGGTTTCAACTGTACAACTTCATAACACATCATCTATCTGCACACTGCATGGTGCACTCACCACCCAAAGTCAAGTCTCCTTCCGCCACCATCTCCCTTTGCCCTCTCCACCTCCCCCCACTCCCACCTCCCTTCCCCTCTGCTAATCACCGTACTGTTGTCTGTGTCTGGTTGTTTTTGTTTTTATTTTTTGCTTAATCCCTTCACCCTTTTCACCCAGCCTCCCAACCCTTCTACCCTCTGACAACTGTCAGGCTGTTCTATGTATCTATGAGAATGCTTCTATTTTGTTGGTTTATTTTGTTCATTAGATTCCACATATAAGTGAAATCATATGGTGTTTTTCTTTCTCTGATTGGCTTATTTCACTTAGCATGATACCCAGGTCCATCCATTTTGTTGCAAAGGGTGATATTTCCTCTTCTTTATGGCTGAGTAATATTCCCTTGTGTAAATGTACCACAGCTTTTTTTATCCACTCTTTTACTGATGGGCATTGGGCTGCTTCCCAATCTTGGCTATTGTATATAACACTAAGAGTATGTATTTTTAAAGGTTGAAGTCAACCACAAGCTATTTGTGGATGTGGCCAAGCAATTTTTCAATTTCACTTCCCGGTTTCACTTATGACTCTTAGCAGGTTGGTCGTGAAAAGTGCTGTACCTGTCCCGTCCGGTACCTCCGGATCACATTGAGACCAGGTGGCTCCAACAGCTCTTGGGAGATAGTACATCTTCACCATTAATGTCCTTCCCCCTATCCTGGCAAGTTTCCCATTATGTTGTAGCCTGTCTACCCATACATGCTCTCTCCTTCGTCCATCTTTTGGCTCAAAACCAAAAAAGACTCTGCACTTATGATGCAATCTCACACTTACAGGAGTTCTTCCCTCTGAGGGATTCTAAAGATTTTCAAATAACGAAACATGTCAAAACAGTCTAAACTCCCTCCTGACCAGACCACCCATTAATTAGGTGAAAGCGATGGAGCAGACGTTTACACCTTGTCTGGATTTGGGAGCAGCACTTAATCAAGTCGCAGAGACACTGGCGTAGGTGCCAGGAGTGGAAGCATTGGCTACCAAGCAGAAATCCAAACACAGTTATAAAAATAGCTGCTCCTAGCTAGAAGGGTTTGTTTTGATTTAAAATATCACATTTACAAAGGAAGACGATAACTGAGAAGGAAAATACACAGAAGGTCACACAGGTTTAGGTTCAAACCCTGATGCTGCTACTTGTTACGTGGTGACCTTGTTCAAGATGGGTCCTTGCTCTTAGTCTCAGTTTTCTCATCTATGAACTGGGATCCCAATGTCCCTCTGGTGTGGCAATTTTGTGAGGCTCAAATAAATTCATGTATATGAAAGTATCTAGCCTCTTCCTGCGACCCTGGAGTCACTTCATGACTTGAACTGAACTGTGTCCCTTGCCAAAATTCAAATGTTAAAGGCCTACCCCCTAGTATCTCAGAATGTGACTGTATTTGGAGATAGGGCCCTTTACAGAGTAATTATATTAAAATGAGGTCATTAGTGTGAGTCTTAATCCAATATGACTGGGGTCCTTATAAGAAGAGGAAATGTGGACATAAACATTATGTGAAGACAAAAGAAGGGAGGGGAGAGACAGAGAGAGAAACATCGATGTGAGAGACACGCATCGATTGGTTACGACCACGTGTGCCCCAACCAGGGGCCGAGGATCAAGTCTGCAACCAAGGTATGTGCCCTTGACCAGAATCAAATCTGTATGCGGGCCAATGCTCTAACACTGACCCAAACCGGCCAGGGCTGATTTGGTGTTCTTTATGTCCAACCCTCCCCTACTCCCATTCAGTTCCTGTTTGACCACATGCCTTGATCACATGCCTTGATCACATGCCTTGATCACATGCCAGGGGTGTGAAATCTTTCATGATGATTTACTCTGAGAGATCTGCTACCTCTTTGACAACTGTGCATTAGAGTATTATCACCAATACTATTGCGATAAGTCTGACTCAACTAGAACATTTGGGGTGACATTTCAAATATTCCTTATTTATAATCCCTTTGGAAAGGAATTTAGCAACATCCAAAATGCACATATGCATTTACTTTTACAACCTGCTGTCCCACTTCTAGAATTTTGTGGGAGGCATTAAAATGTCACCCCAAAGACATCCATGTCCTAATCCCCATAACCTGTGAACACGTTACCCTACATGCAAAGGGGACTTCACAGTTGTGATGTGATTATGCACCTTGAGACAGAGAAATAATCCTGGACTAATCAAGCGTGCCCAAGGCCACCCAGGGGTCCTTAAAGTAGGGGAGGAAGGCAGAAGAGGTGATCGGAACAATGCAGTGTTCCCACCCACCTTGCTGGCTTTGAGGACAGAGAAAGGGGACATGAAACGAGGAATCCGTGTCGTCTCTACAAGCTAAAAAGGCAGGGAAGAGATTCCACCTAGAGCCCCACAAGGCCTGCTGACACCTTGGTTTTAGCCCAGCCAGACCAGACTACTGGCCTCTAGAACTATCAGCTAATGAGATTGTGTTGCTTTAAGCCACTAAGTTTGTGGTAGTTAGTGCAGCAATAGGAAACGAATTCACCTTCCACAAATATGAAACAGCATATGCATCAGCCCATCACTGTGGTCCTATTTGTAACAACTTAAAGTCTGGACACAACCCAAAGTGCCATCATTAGGGACTACCTGAACAAATACAGTGGCATACTTTGCCCCTGTAAATTAGTATGAGGAATTTCTATACCTAACATTAGCTGACTTTTAGGACATATTTTTAGTAGGAAAAAAGTATGGTACAGAACACTGTATATAGTATTTTATCTTTTATGTAGGAAAGAAAGAGAAGTAAAAATATACATATATTCTTTTTTTCATCAAGAGAAAAATTATAAAGATAGGCTAGAAATAAATTAATAAAAACAATCACTTTGATGAGGATCTATTTTTAACATATAATTTTGTGTTTTACATATTAAAACATAAAATTTAAAATAATTTAAAATAAAATTAAATGTTCATACTTGAGTTGTCTATCTAGGATTTACATTCTAAAACCTTCCCTAGACTTTTACTCAGCTCCTGATGGAATTCTATCCCAGAGCAAATTAAATACCCAAGATCAAGAAACTGTTTCCTGACAGATCTGTCAAAATTGCAGCTTGCTGGAGGGTTAAGATCGCAATTTCTGCTGAATTTACTGTTTTTCTGAATCATATTCTGACATTATGGATCTGATTGACAGGCTGGAATGGTACACGACTTAAAGCAAATAATTATAGAACAACCCATTTCATAAGGTTAGCAACAGTGCCATCTGGTGGCTGTAACTTTAAAAGTGCAGTATTTTCTTTATGAAGTGTGCTCTTCTAACTGAAATTACATTATATGTGGAAGAGAAGGGGAGCAACCAGAAATGGTTGGTAGTAAGACCTTATTAACTTATGTGTGATATCAAATTAATTCTTAACACAAAATATTGATGGATTCCATTTTTAAAAATCCTCACCCAAGGATATATTGCTTTTTAGAGAGAGGGGTCAGGAGAGAGAGAGAGAGAGAGAGAGAGAGAGAGAGAGAGAGGCATCGATCCCTTGCTTCCCATACACACCCTGACTGGGGGTCAAACCCACAAGCCCTGATGGGTAATTGAACCCGCAACCTTTTGGCGTACAGGATGATGATCCAAACAACTGAGCCCCCCAACCATGACGATAGAATACATTTTAAGAATGCATTTCAGTGGCACTAAATCCTTACTGAACCTTCATGCAACAAGATGCAATTTTGAAAAATGTATAGGTGTCCCCCCAAAATGTAATTATAAAGGCAGTGCTAAAATACATTTCCTTTTCAAAATTGACCCATCAGCTGTTAAAGTGTGTTTACATTTTAGTGTCTATTTTCATAGTTTTTATAATCGATATTATAAAAATGCAGCCAGATTCAGTTTAAACTAACAAACAGCCAGGATGATTTATAAGACTATATCTGATTATTTAGGTTTCTAAAAGTGAAATGATAGAAACAACTAGTATGTCTCAGGAGGGTCTAAAGCCATTGAATAAAATGCACCTAATTTGGTTTCATCCTTCCTTAACCAGTACTGGCAAATGAATAAGATTATTTCTCTACCTAATTCTTATCAATAATAGGAGATTTTTTTCTCTCTCTCTTTTTTTGTATGATGACTATTTACATATTAAATTGAACTACAGAACTGAGACTGCCCTGGCCAGTGTTGCTAAGTGGTTAGAGTGCTGGCCGGTGCACCAAAGGGTTATGGGTCCGATTTCCAGTCAAGGGCACATACCTGGGTTACAGGTTCATCCCTGGCCCTGGTCAGGGAGCATGTGGGAGGTGCAACCAATCTATGTGTCCCTCTCACATAGATGTTTCTCTCTCTCTCTCTCTCTCTCTCTCTCTCTCTCTCTCTCCCTCTCTCTCTCCTTCCCTCCCTTCTACTCTCTCTAAAAAAACCAATGGGAAAAATATTCTCAGGTGAGGATTAACAAAACAAAACAAAAAGACCTGAGACAATATGGGGTAAAAATAACTTTGGTTTTAAAATTGTAGCATAATTGTCATAAAAATACTATTTGGATAAGTGTTTCAATTGCACCAACACCCAACTTGTTATGAGACAAATCAATGCAATTCAAAAAATAGTTGCTGAGACCTGCTACTGCGTGCCCTGCACTATGCCGATTCGGGCACTGGGAGGAAAAGTGGAGGCAGATGCCTAAGAGACAGACAGAGACGCTTCCTGAAGTTAGCTGGAGAGTTTGCATTTAGCCATCAGATTCGAAAATGGGCTAATAGTGGTGTTAAGGGTGGGACTTGTGGCTAAAGGAAATGTCTAGAGCAGTGGTTCTCCACCTTCCTAATGCCGAGACCCTTTAATACAGTTCCTCATGTTGTGGTGACCCCCCAACCATAAAATTATTTTCGTTGCTACTTCATAACTGTAATGTTGCTACTGTTATGAACCGTCATGTAAATATCTGATATGCAGGATGTATTTTCATTGTTATAAATTGAACATAATTAAAGCATAGTGATTCATCACAAAAACAATATGTAATTATGTATGTGTTTTCCAATGGTCTTAGGCGACCCCTGTGAAAGGGTCGTTGGACCCCCAAAGGGGTCGCGACCCACAGGTTGAGAACCGCTGGTCTAGAGGTTCCAAGGATGACGAAGAAATAACCTGAAGGGAGAGAAGCAGTCATGAAGGTGAGGAAAAGGGAGAACAAAAATAGACATGCAGGGAGGATGGTTAGGGAGGAAGAGCAGTTGTGGAAACTCATGCGCCACTTTCTCGCAAGCAGAAGAGAGCTTGCAGGCGTTTCACCTCACGCGTTAGCTAATGCGGAGTCATAGTGAGTTACCATCTCTCCTGGCATCCGCGACCACCTTTGCTGCAGACTTGCTCATCACGTGCACGATGTACAGGGGGCAGTTGATGGCGCTGGCGATGGTGATGGCTCTCAGCGTGGCCTCTGCCTCCACGGCTTCTGGGCGGCACAGCTCGTGGCCCTCGGGGCCTGTGATCCCCAAAGCCAGCATCTTCTTTGCTCCCTAAAAGGCAGCAGGAACACACAGATGGGCAAGGAAGGCTTACTAATAACAAATGCCGTTATGTTATTGTGAAAGAAATACACTGGCAGGCTTTTAGATCTGTTAGGTGTGTGTGTGTGTGTGTGTGTGTGTGTGAGATGCATGTGCGTGCATTTGGTAAAAATAAACTTAATTCTCTGATATGCTACTTTTCACATACATATTTGACAATTAAATTATTTTGATAGAAAAGGTGGAAAAGATATGAGATTAGTTCTAATCACTCTTTGAAAAGCAGTGTTTATATTTAAGACTTACTGGTTCAGAATAAACAAAAATATGCTAATCCCCAATATCAGATCCTTGTTGAAATAACTCATGGTATTATATTATGTAGTTAATTCTACTTTTAAAAATATATTTTTATTGATTTCAGAGAGCAAGAGTGAGAGAGAGAGAGAGAGAGAGAAACATCAATGATGAGAGAGAGTCATTAATCGGCTGCTTCTTGCATGCCCCCTACTGGGAATCAACCCTAAAACACAGGCATATGCCCTGACCAGGAATCAAGCGACCAGTTATTCTGCTGTTTGGTTGATTTGCATATTAGCCTTTTATTATATGGGACATGTTTGAGATCTAATATAATAGCTGGTTTGAGAAAAAAAAATCCTTATTCAAATGCATATAATACCTGAGTAAAATTCAGAGCAGAGACTCAAGTAAACAAAATTGAGTGTTTCTAAACCTGAGAAAATTAGTGTCTTCCAATGAATCGCATGCGCTGACCTCCTTAGGGCCAATGTCTGCACCGTAAGTCGCGGCCGCCGTCATTGCGGTGGAAGCTGTGGAATGCGGCTCTTACCTCTGCGATCAGGTCTCCGTTTTCCGCGTGGACCTGCGCAATCGCTCCGATTTCCTTGCACCGAGAGAAGGCCGCGTACAGCTCCGCGTCCCTCACCATGTACACGTCCTTATAGGCCATGAACATCTTAAAGGAGTTCACACCTTTATCTCGGGTAAGGATTTTCATTTCTTCTTTCACCTAAAAGGAAAGAACAACAAGAAAATGTCACTGTTTAATTGTTTAAAATACATTTTTATTGATTTCAGAGAGGAAGGGAGAAGGAGAGAGAGATAGAAACATCAATGATGAGGGAGAATCATTGATGGGCTGCCTCCTGCACGCCTCCTACTGGGGATCAAGCCCACAATCCACACATGTGCCCTGACTGGGAATCCAACCATGACCTCCTAGTTCATGGGCTGATTCTCAACCACTGAGCCACACCAGCTGGGTGTCACCGTTTAATTTAAAGATAATTTCAATACTTTCCAGAACATTGCTTTTGGAGAAGAATTAAGTAAAATAACAGTTTAATTCCAGAAAAAAGCTGCAATTAAGGCCTTGATCTTTCCCCCTTTCATCTCCTGTGACAATACTTCTAAGTCATGGAAGAGTTTATAGTTTTCTCCGAAGTACTTCATTTGTAGACTTGGAAATAAATTTGCAGCATGTATCTTTCAATATGAGGATACCAACCCTGCCAAGACCTTGATCTCGGACTTCTAGTCTCCAGAACTATCCTATATAATAAAAGGCTAATATGCAAATAGACCGAAGGGCATAACAACCCATCGCTATGACATGCGCTGACCACCAGGGGGAACGTGCAGAACATGGCAGGCTTCGGCAGCAGGTGGCAGAGTGTGGAACATGGTGAGTGTTGGCCACGGTGGGATGATGGAGCAGGTGAGCGGGGACACCAGACCAAGGTGGGGTGCCAGTCGCTGTCATTGGGGTGAGCCTCTGGTGGTTACTGAAAATTCTTTGCTCCTGCGTGCCACGGTCCTGCCCGGCGTTTGCACCTGCTGCCGGCACCAGCCCCAGAGCCACTGCTTGTACCTGCTGCCGGTGCCCAGCACCAGCCCTGAGGGCTTCTCCACCTCCCCCTGCTCCTGAGGGGCGATTGGGGCAGCAGCCACCACTCACACCCACTGACAGCACTGGCCCCGCTCGCACCCACTGCTGGCACCAGCCCCAATTGCCCTGCACTGTCAGCAGGTGGGAGTGGGGCTGGCGCTATCAGCATATTGGAGCGGCAGCGGTGGGAGCAGGGCTGAAGGCAGACAGGGGACCAGGGCCATGGCAGGAGGTGCCGGGTGGGGGCGTGGAGGATGGGCCAAGACCCGCCCTTGTGTCCACCGCAGCCTCGCGGCCCAAAGTTCCTTTCAAGGTGCATGAATTCATGCACTGGGTCCCTAGTCTATAATAATAAAGGTATAATATGCAAATTGACCAAATGACTGAACAGCAGAACGACCATCCAGATGACCTTCCCAATGACCATGCTATGACATGCACGGTGCCAGGCCAGCCAAGGTGGGTGCGATGTGATTGGTCTGGGGGCCCCGCCATTGCCCCATGATCGCCCTGCAGAGGGAGGCCCAGGCCACCTGGCTAGCAGCGCTGTGGCGAGTGGGCAGGGCCTCCCTCTGGGGGGCAATCAATCTGGGGGCCCCGTGATCGATTGCCCTACAGAGGGAGGCCCAGGCCAGCCAAACAATTGCACCCCATGCCTGTCACCCTCAGAAGGAGGCAACTGGTGGTGGGAGGAAGGGGAGCAGTGCTGCACAGATGGCAAGCAGGCAGCAGTGGGGGGGGGGGGGGCGGGTGATCGATTGCACAGAGGGAGGCCCAGGCCAGCCAAACAATTGCACCCCATGCCTGTCACCCTCAGAAGGAGGCAACTGGTGGTGGGAGGAGGAAGAGCAGTGCTGCACAGATGGCAAGCAGGCAGAGGCGGGGCAGGGGAAAATCTGTGTTTTAACAATATTCACCAGGTGACCATTGGCATGTGAAGGGGTGAGAAGCACTGGTAAGGGTGAATATCATCACTTTTGCTCCAATAACATAAGAGGGGAGGAAAGGAGGAAGGGAGGGAGGGAGGAAACGAGGAAGGCAGGAGGACCTAAAAGCAAAAGAGATCAGATGCATCGCTTAGAACGGCATTTTTGGAGAAAAATTAACTTTAGCTGTGAACTATGAACCTTGCTAGTATATTTGCTGATCTCCCTGTTAAAAACTGATGACTTGTTTTATATTAACTTGGTGTCTAAAGCCCAGTTTTTAGGGGGAGGTGGGAGCCAAGTTACCTGGTAACGTCAAATAAAGTCAGCCTTGTGAACGCTTTCTGGCAAAAAGACTCCTGAATTAAGTCCAATGTGGAAAAACGTGTTGTTGATTTAAATTGCAAGTAAAAATGTCTTCTAAAGCACACATACAAGTTTACATGGGGAGAAATGGACACATTTTAACATCCCTCAAAACTGGTTTCCTAATCCGAATCAGGTGGTCATTTCTGCTACGGCCTAAGTAATTAGAAGATGCGGAAGGCTGGTTTAAGCTCCGTCATGATACGATCTGACCAGCTGGTGAGATTAGCACAGCTTTGCAGAAAGGGCACCGGTTAGGGGACAGCTGGGAGGAGGCCCTGAAAACATTCCCGTCTGTTCTCCTTTCTCTTTCCAGTGCACAAGAGTCGGGGAGGGGAGGGGTGTGTGGGAATAGAGGCATCCAGTTTTAAATGGGAATGTCCTTGGTTTATTTCCATAAATTAACCAATTCTAATTAAAGTTCCGGTCTGTGGGAAAATACTATTTAAAGGAGTCTGGAAAGGTTGAATTTGAGGAAAAGAGAGACCAGTACTTTTTTTGTTGGATATTTTTTCCATTAATTTTTAGAGAGAGTGGAAGGGAGAGGTGGAGAGAGAGAAATTACTTGCCTTCTGCATGCTCCCTGACCGGGGTGGGGATCAAACCTGCAAAGCCAGGTACACCCCTGTGCCCTTTACCGGGAATTGAACCTTGAGACCCTTCATTGTGCAGGCTGACGCTCTAACCACCAGCCAGCGTGGGAGATCAGTCCTTTTTAAAATTACATGTCATGAACTTAATATTAGGAAAGGCTATTGTGAATTATTATGAAGGATTTTCGCTATCATCTCTATGTGATTTTTAAAATTTTAGTTTTGGAAATTGACAATACTTCACAGGAATCAAACTTCAAAAGGTGCCAAAGAGCAGGCGATGACACATCTTCCCTCCAGTTCTGACCCCCAGCCGTCCACCAGTTTCTCACGTTTATTCATCGCCAGTTTCTCGGTCTTGCACAGAGAGAGGACTAGGGAACTGAAAAGAAGCTGCCCCCCCGGGCGGCTCACCTGGTCACTCCACCAGGTCACGGCCACGTGCAGGCTGTAGTCGCAGCAGACCGTGGGGTCCGCCCAGCTCCGCCAGGTCTCGAAGGCTTTGAGGAGGGAGCTGCCTTTCTGAGGAATGGCAAAATCGATGATCATGGTGGTGCCTCCCGCCAGGGCCGCCTGCAAGCACAAGAGGGTTCCAACAGGTGAGACAAGTCATTTGTCTCCTTGAACAACATGCATTTGCAAGCACTTGGGCAAACCTGACGGGTCTGGGAAATTGCACAAACATGCCGCCTTTAAAAGGCACAGAGGGACGCAAATAGCCTTCCCATAAATTGCAGTTTGAAGTATTAAAACTGCTTGAGTGGAGCCTTTGAGCTCTTGCTTCCAGACATTGTCCTCGGTTTGGCTCAAAGAAACGCTTATAAAAATTAAATAAATAGACAGGACTGCTGGAGCTACCTCTGTCAAAAGAATGGCAGGTCTGATGAAATGAAAATGGCTTTGATCCAAAGAAAACAGGAAGACTATAAAAAAAACCCAAAATGGAGAAGTGGAGAAGATTCATTTTTTTTCCCTTTAAAAAACTATCTTCATCCTGGCAAAACCCCGTTTTATCAGAGTCAATCTTGGTGAAGTGTATCTCCAACTACCCTGTGATCCATGCTGAATCCTTGGAGACTCAACATGGTTCCCACCCCACCTTCATTCATCACGACCTCCTGGTGACCCCTCCATCTTTCCTGAATTCCCTTCTCTCCCCTCTAGCCCTTCCCCTGCCTCTGGTCTTAGTTCAGACACTTCTCATCCCCATCTGATCATTATGTCTCCGGTTTAGCTCCCACTCGCTCCAACACGAACCCTTCATTGCACCTAGAGGGATGAAGTACAGATATGACCTTGGCTCCTGAGCTTAAAACTGAATACTTCTCACTGACTCTGGAATAAAGTTTAATCTTCTGAGTATGGTCCACAAGGCCCTGCGAGATCTGCCTCAACTTTCATATTCTCCTTGGCATACACATTACATTACATCAAGACTTACATTACATTACATTACATTACATTACATTACATTACATTACATTACATTACACAAATATTCAGAGCAGCATTATCCATAGTAGCAAGAAGTGAAAAACACCCAAATGTCCATAAGCTGATGAATGAACAAAATGTGGTATATTAATACAATGGAATATTATTTGGCCATAAAAAATGAATTTCTGATACACACCTCAGAATACATTAAGCTATGTGAAAGAAGCCAGTCACAAAAGATCGAATATTGTATGATTCCATTTATATGAAATATTCATAAGAGGCAAATCCCTAGTGATAGGAAGTGGAATAGTGGTTGCTTGGGGCTGGAGGGGTTGGGGAGAATCAGGTGATAGCGAAAGGGTTTCTTTTGGGGATGATAAAAATGTTTATAATTGTGGTGCGCACTCTGTGAATATATTTAAAAACATTGAAACATACACTTTAAATGGCTGCATTGTATTGTCTATTAATTACATCTTAATAAAACCGTTACCAAAACAACAACAGCAAAAACCACCTACCCCATGGAATCCATTAATTACACAGAGTGAGGAGGGGGCAGGATATAGAAATAATCCAAGGTTCTGCCCTCAGGGTGTTTATCATCTCGATGGGGAGATGGGATATGAAGAAATAATTATAACAAAATATTCAGATTGTGATTACAGGTAGCACATATACTTCCATAATAAACAGTAGTACAGAAATGGTTAAAGGGAGGTGAAAATTGCTAAGCTCCCTAGAAGAGGCCCAGGGAAAAGATAGTGGTACAAATACATGTATGCACTATATGAATTAGTCCAGACTGTGGGTGGTTTTCTTACAAGACTGAACATGTGATGGTCAAAGGCCTGTTTTTCTAAAACTACAGCAGACAACTTCCTGGGGCTACAACTGGAATAAGGATGTATCACACCCCCCCACCTCCCTAATTAACCAGGAGCAGGAGAGGGAGGGTGGGAGTGGCCAGCTGCCTTTTTTGGTTTCTTCTGGTTCTGTTTCTCCTCTCCACTCCTCCTTCCTCTCCTCACCCTCACAACGGGAAGGCATATAGAGAAACTGTAATGCACGGGAGAGGATCGCCGGGGCCAGTGTGGACGAATGGATGAAACACAGACCCGGCCTTTTTCCCAACCACTGGCACATTAGCCACGGGCCACAGGGACCTCGGCTGCTCCCCTGGGTCTTACTGAACAGCTGTCAGGCACCATCTGGCCCCCGCCTCCTCTTGGACCTCTTTCTTCCTCTTCTGGTCTTTCTGGTCACCCAGGGTCCTTTGGTTGCTCAAAGTTACCCCAAATTCCTGAATATTATTTCAAGATCTAAAATGTTCCCTTCTTTACACAGGATCCAAGGAGCCACATGCCAGAGCTGCAGGTCTGTAATCCCAACTAGAGTGGACTCGCCCCCGCCCCCCGCCGCCTGGGGGCGGGGGGAGGGTGGGATGGAGACCTGCTCCTCTCAAGACACACTTGCCTCTCAAGAGGCACTTGTTTACTAAATACCCGGTTCTGGGTTAGGCATCTCAGACTCAGCTCATTTAAGTAAGCCTCACTACAGCCCCAGGGGTAGGGATTGCTTTCCTATTTGACAGTTGAGCATACGGAGGCTCAGAGATGTCAAATGACTCTCCAAGGTCACACAGCTGGCACATTCTCATTGGTGACATGGAAGAAGATACGATTTAGAGCAGGAGGTCTTACGTTCAGCCTGCTCCTGGCCTCAGCCTCATGCAGATCATGCCCCCTTGTCTGGCCTTCCAGCCAGTGTGACGTGCTTTCCAGCCTGTCGCCCCAGGTCAGTAAGTGAATCATCGCTTGGAGAGATGCAGAGGTTGGCAAAACCAATCAAGCATTTAGGAAACCAAAAGCCAAACAAAACAAATCCCGTCAAACTATGAATTGTAAATTCACAAGTGAAATGCAATGTTTTTGTCGTTGTTACTCCTCACCTGAGGATAGTTTTCCATTGATTTGTAGAGAGAGTGGAAAGGAGGTAAGGTGGGGGAGAGAGACAGAGAGAGAGAGAGAGAGCACGCAAAAGGTCAATGTGAGAGAGACACATTGATTAGTTGCCTCGTGGAGGCCTGACCTAGGGCCTGTCAAACCTGCAACCCAGATACATGCCCTTGACTGGGAATAAAACCTGATGCTCTAACGACTGAACCACACCAACCAGGGATGAAATGCAATTTTATTAAACTTATGTGATGTTCATCAGTGTGCCAATCACTAATGCAATAATGTTCCCCTAAAAGATTTATGAGGAAGAACCCATACTAGAGCTTTTTTGCCTTCACACAACTATTACCCATGGGATAATCAGCTTTATCCAGCAAACCAGTTGGTTAGAACACCACAGTCCCTGCCCTGGCTGGTGTGCTCAGTGGTTAGAGTGTTGGCCCAATCACCAAAGGGTTGCAGGTTCAATCCCCGGCCCTGGTCAGGGCACATGCAAGAGGCAACCAATTCAACTGTCTCTCTCACATCGCTTATGTGATGTTCATCAGTGTGCCAATCACTAATGAAATAACGTTCCCCTAAAAGATTTATAAGGAAGGACCCATACTAGAGCCTTTTTGCCTTCACGAAATTGTTCCTCATGGGATAATCAGCTTTATCCAGCAAACACCACAATCCCTGCCCTGGCTGGTGTGCTCAGTGGTTAGAGTGTTGGCCCAATCACCAAAGGGTTGCAGGTTCAATCCCCGGCCCTGGTCAGGGCACATGCAAGAAGCAACCAATTCAAGTGTCTCTCTCACATCAATGTTGATCTCTCTCTCTCCCTCCCTCCTCTTCCACTTCCTCCTCCCTCCTTCCCTTCCACTCTCTCTAAAAATCAATGGAAAAAGTATCCTTGGGTGGGGATTAACAACAAAAAGAAAAGAACACCACAGTTCCAGCCCACCTTAGATATTTTCAATATTTGTTTAATAATTCCTTTCATCAGCTGCTTCTAGATTCCCTTCACAAAATGTTCCTTCGACTTTCCCGAACATTGAAGGATGAGGAGAGCTTAGAGGAGGAGGCAGCAGTAAAGGATGAACATTTATTTCATATTTCTATGTAAAACCTAATTGTTTCCTTTGTTTTTACTGCTGATTGACTCCACTCCCCTTTTATTTGCCGTTAGCCAAACAAAATGCATTTACCTTTTCTAATCTGGGCTCATAAATCAATTCTTTCAGCTCCTAATTACCTTGGCTCTTCTCCCTTGAAAACCTTCCCGTTTATCTAAAAAGCTTCTTTTGCTAGGAAGACAGCTTGTGCTGTCTCAGGTGCAAATGTGATAGAACATAAATTGAGATAAACTCTAAGCAACAGTGGGGTCATCATTTTACATAACACAAGATTTTATTTAACAATGTATTTGGTTGTAAATCATTATTGAAAGCATCCCAAGCATTTTCTTCCTTCTTCTTTTTTTTCCTCCCCCACTTCTAAGCTCATCCTGGAACAAGTGATTTGTTTCACTAAAATCAATCACAGGACTTGCTCAACCCAAGTAAAACAAAAAGAAGTTCCAGCAGTGCGTTTGAGCTGCAGGGAGAAGAACGCTGGCTGGATTTGCAGCTTTCTCGGCGTCACTGAGACTTAGGGAAACAAGCCCCAACTTGTGTTTCCAAACCAGAAGCACATTCGGTTTTGTCAAGCTGTGCTCCGCATTGCTTCTCCATGCTCGTCTCCTGGTCTCCCCAGTTGGGAAATATTAATCCATCCAGCTGTGCAAACCAGACTTAGGAGTCACCCTTGAACTTTACCTTTCTTCTTCCTTACACCCCCAAATCCAATCCATCAGCAAGGCCCCCTCCCTCAGACTACCTCCTGCATATTCCATGAGTCTCTTTACTCCCTGCATGGCCTCCTCCACTGCCCAGTGCCATCTTCGCCTTCCGACTGGACTAGTAGCCTCTGCAATGTCACCTTGTCCCCAGCAATGCTGGCCACTTCCAATCTTGCATTGGCTTTTCTTTGCCCTTGGGATGAAGACAAGACAATTATGAGACATCCCACAGGGTCCCTGCATGATCTGAACTTGAAATAGCTCCTCAGCTTTGTATTGAGTCACTCCCCTCCCAGCTCCTTCATCCCACTCCAGGGACACTGTCTCTCCTCCTTCTCTTTGGAGAGCTCTGAGTGCCTCTCTGTCTCAGAGAGAGATGTCACCCAGCCCCTCCCCTGTTATTAGTCCAGTGAATCTTTTTTTTTTTTAATATATTTTTTACAGAGAGGGAGAGGGATAGAGAGTTAGAAACATCAATGAGAGAGAAACATCAATCAGTTGCCTCCTGCACACCTTCTACTGGGGATGTGCCCACAACCAAGGTACATGGCCTTGACTGGAATCGAACCTGGGACCCTTCAGTCCGCAGGCTGATGCTCTATCCACTGAGCCAAACCGGTTAGGGCTAGTCCAGTGAATCTTAACCCTAGCATCTTCTAGGGAACTTTTATTCCATCCCCCAGAGATTCTGACTCAACTGATGTCGTTTCATCTGTGTATGCCTTGTGCCCATTACATTAATATTCTTTAGATCTTTAAGGGAGAAAGGAAGGGAGGGACCAATGAATTTCCCACAAAGGCTATGAGTAGGAGTAATTACGATGATTCACGTTTACAATAGCAAAATGGAAAGGCAGTGTAATTGCATGTTAATGTGAGATTTCACTTCTCAAAAGCAGTGCTATCCCTGGCTGGATCCTTCTATGAAAATGTTAACATGGAATGTAGACTCTGAGCACATTTGAAAGCTGAATGCTCAGCTTGTCCAAAGCCCATTGCCTAATCAGTGTTAACTACGACTTTTAAAATAGCAGAACTACAGTCTATTTCTGTATCTATGCCTCAAATCACTTCTTCTTTCAAAGATTACATTTTGTTTCATTTTAAGCCATTTTTTAAGGTCTTTGCTTTTTAGCTGAGAACAGATCCGTAGGGTTCAGGAACTCAGTACTGGCACTAGAACATGCACTTTTTTACTTGGATAAATGAAACATAACTGACACGGTGCAGTGTCCTCCCTGGATTAGCTACTTGACATGTGAAAAGAGGAGTCCGAAGTGGCGAGGAGTCGGCTCTGGGTAATTACCGAAGCTCACTTAGAAAATAACCTGCTAAAAATACAATTTGGTGCCCGGCCAGTGTGGCTCAGTGGTTGGGCGTTGACCTATGAACCAGGAGGTCATGGTTCAATTCCCAGTTAAGGTACATACCTGGGTTGTGGGCTCGATCTTCAATAGGGGGCGTGCAGGAGGCAGCCGATCAATGATTCTCTATTATCATTAGGGTTTCTATCTCTCTCTCTTCCTCTCTGAAATCAATCAAAACATATTTTTAAAAAATACAATTTGGTGATGCCAGCCACTGTGACCGGCAACTTCACAAAAGGGAAAAATGCCAGACCTCGAGTATTCACTCGGAAATAGTCAATCACCAAAGTTAAGTCTGCAAGACCAAGCTTCTGTCTATACTGTATTATTAAGGCCAGGTAACACTGCAGCTCCCTAAGCTCTAGCTGCCTGCCACTGAGAACAAAGACCACGGTTTTCATCTCAATCACCCCAACCACGGTGCCTAGCACTTAGAGGCACTGTTCCCAAGAAACATTTGTCGACTGAAGTAACGGAATCTAACCATCATCTTGGAAAATCCTTAGTTGAGCGCCACTCTGTAGTAGGTGGCAGTGACAGGGCCCAGAAGTGTCACCACTGGGGAATACTGACTCATCAGCTGAGACTAGAAGCTTGGCCACACCTAAACAGCCCCTGTTTCAAAACTATGTTATCTCCCATCTATTCTCCCAAAGGCCCATTTGACTTTCCTAAAAGTCATTTGTTTCCTATAAGGTCTTTCTCCCCCAACTCCTTCCCCCTGTAAAGATGGTATGTATGTAAAGCCTCACAGTCTCACTGCCTCCCTGAGTCACATCTTTCTGGAAACTTGCAGAGACCTGAATTTTAAAGATCAGTCTTCTCTCTTGCTAATTTACTTTGTCAGTTTAATTTGCAACCCGAATAATGAAACCTAAGAGGTTGTAGAAAAAGTTTCTCCTCCCTGACAGCAGCATCATGAAAACCTTAATTTCTGCACCACTTCTGGGTGACATTGGAAACCTGCCTTCCAGACAAATGAAGGAGGAAATGGTGGAATTGAAAACGGTAGAGATCTCAAGCAAAGAAGCTGAAAGAAGGCAAGTCCTAGATTCTGTCAAGTTCAATTCATAGAACAGCCTCAGTAGGGCAAAGCGCTACTTAACACTGAGCAGTTTTAAATTAATATTTGAGATATTTCTTCTTCTTCTAATTAATAGTGTAAAGATTAACTTTGTAATCAATAAAGAACCACCCAAGGAAATCATACAATTATAAACTCAGAGCTGGAGTATGCAAGCAGCACAATAAGAACGCTCAAAGCTCAGCCTCACCAGCAATCAAAGAAATGTTCACTTAAAAAACATTAAGAAATTCTGTTTTTCCTGTTACATTGACATTGATTTTTTTTTAAAGTCAATATTCACAGGTAGCTAGGATGCAGTGAAATGAGAATTATAATGTACTGTTCATGGGAGCAGAAATTAAAAGCAACCTGGATATATGTATTCAACTCTTTCAGATGTATCTAATACTCACTGGCCGAGTCATTTCTCTCTGAGGGGTGATTTCTAAGTCAATCATCAAGAATCTGAGTAATGATTTACATCACAGTATACACAAGCAAAAACAAAAACCAAAAAAACTGGAAACCACCAAAATGCCCAACCCTGAAAAGAAGAGAATGAAGCTGTTAACAGTTTGGGAAACAGGATAAAACGTGGGTGAGGGACTTGGAGGGAAGGATAAACTTGGTTTGGAACATGCTGAGTTTGAGGTGCTGATGGGACACCAGGTTGTGGCATCTTCAGAAAGGCAGGAATGAGGCCTGGTGCATGGGCGATATGGGGACCAGACAGAAAGCTTTGACACAGACTCGACTCAGAGAGGATAACCAGGTCACGGAAATCACGTTCTTCAATGATAGTTAAGGTCACTGAAGAACGTGATTTATGGACGAGGCTGACTCCAAAGAGTGTGCACTAGGAGAAGGGAAACTGTTTATATGCCCCCCCGCCCCCAAGGAAACAACCTGAAAGGACAGAAAACAAAATGTTAAAATTATAGGTGATTTAAATCTTTGTACTCTTTGTACTCTTTTCCTTTAAAAAAAAAACCCCACACAGCAGTTTATACATTCAATCCATATATATTGAGCAACTATAATGCTCCAGAATTTTCCTAAGGGCTGAATGATGAGTATATATTGTTTTTCGGTAGTTTAAAAAAATATTTCTTAATCTTTATTGTTGAAAGTATTACATATGTCCCCCTTTCACCCCCAATGACCCCTTCTAGCCTGCATCTGCCCTTAAAAATATTTTTTTTTAAATTAAAGTTGTTCTTCTAACCAATCGTTTTACACATAAGGAAATGTTGACAGCCCTGAGGGAGGAAGTGACTTGCTCAAGGTCACACAGTCAGCCCGCAGAGCCTCTAAGCCCAGCCTGGAGCGCCAGCAAGCACCAGAAAAGGAGAGCTGGTTTGCAACCAAGTTTCCTGAGCACAGCTCTCCTCCAAGGTAAGGAAGTGCTATAAATACCACCATCAGCGTGTGCTTAATCATATACCTTCCACTGCCTTATTGTAGCTAATCATCTGGATGGCATTTCACCAAAAAGTTTCAGAGCAAAGTATAATTTTCTTTCTTGATAATTTTGAGGACTTTTTGTCCTTTACAAAAAAAAAAAAAAGTGTTCTGGGTGTTTTCCCAATTAAAAAAATATTCTTCCTCCCACTATGGATGCTGCCAGGTTTTTCATGCAAGTCCACCCACTCCGAGCTGCATCCATGTCTGAATATAAGTAGATATATCTGAAAACTGGCTGAGCTCTTATCACAGGATATAACACAAAGTCATAATTCCTTCAAGATTATCCAATTCACAATATCCATGGGAACAAAAATCCCATTGTCTTTCCTCACAGATCTTAAATTATTAAAAGACCACCAGACATCTAATATAGACCCAACAAAAATGAAATATGATTTCTGTAAAGCAGAACATTATTTCCATTAGTTATATCAGCTAGAAAGCTTTTACATTTAATTAAATAAATTAATTATAGCCTTTAAACCAACCTCTCACATGAATTAGATTTACAAAATATGTAGCCTTTGGTTGACCTATATTTCATTTTTTAAATTGGGCCCACTCACAATCCAGTAATCAATAAATACAATACCAGAAATAGTATCCCTATTTGTTAGATATTATAAATGATCAGCTTGGTGGATGCAAAAAGCAAACAGTTATTGATCTATTGGTCTAGTCTTTTGCGATCCATCTCCTGAAGGCATTGTGGATAAAAGGCCTTTTTGTTTTTATCTTTATTGTTGAAAGTATTACAGATACTTTCAAAAATAAAAATAAAAAATAAGCCTGGCCAGCATGGCTCAGTGGTTGAGTATTGACCTATGAACCAGGAAGTCACAGTTCAATTCCCGGTCAGGACACATGCCCGGGTTGCGGGCTCAATCCCCAGTGTGGGGCATGCAAGAGGCAGCCAATCAATGATTCTCTCTCATTATTGATGTTCTATCTCGTTCTCCCTCTCCCTTCCTTTTGAAATCAATACAAATATATTTTAAAAAAATAAAAGGGGAAATGTCATTTGGAACTTGACTTGTCAAGGACAGATTGTGTCTCCAAAACAAAATTTGAATCCAACTGTTCTTTTATAAACTAGTGAGGTTTTCTTATGAGTAAAAGGTCTCTGTTTGTGTCTGTGTATGTTATACATTATGTTGTAAAT